CAGGGTGTTCTATAATGGGCTGCGGTATTGGAGTAATAAACATTACGCAAAGTTAATCATGGAGTCAGTTTGTAAAAGCCATATATTTCTGGTAGAAGTATATAGGTGCTTATTACTTAAAATAAATAGACGAATACGATTTTTGGTTTCTTCATATACGTTAGCGAAATAATGTATAGGGTGGCACAATAGTGTGGCAAAGTAATACAAATTCCTTATTTGTCTTTATTTTAAAAAAAATGTTTTGAAAAGCATTTTATAAAATGGTAAACCAAACAAAAATGTAGAAATAAATAATTTTAATAATAATATAATATATTTTTTCATATGAATGAAAGCAACGAGAATGAAGTATCTTATTTATTCAGCTAGTTCAAGTACATTTTTCAATAAAATATTATTTATAGATTAAGATCTAGTGCTTTGTAGTGAACGTTTATATGAATGTTTGTTGCCATAGATAATTTAGGAAACAGTCTTATATATTATTTACAGCAGACAGTTCAAATTTTCCCTCCGCTCTGACGGAATTACTAATTTTCCTAACTTCGCATATTGTGAAAAAATTAGTTTCAGATATTTTTTACTCAAAACAGGCAGAATTTTTAAAAATAAAATCATTGCCTGATTCTAAAATAGTTTTCCGATGGATTTGACATTGAAGATCTGAGTCTAACGTATTACAGATTCTATATTTTTGGTATCCTCGAAGAATATGTCACTCCGACTATAAATATATCTCAAAATAGCTAATTGTACAAAAGCATATATTTTAATTAGAACCACTTCCCCCATTCTAAGACAGAGAAGATAGCGACTTCCCATAAGTTTCCCAAGAATAGTTACATTGTCTTGTAATATTTTCGGTTTAAACCTTCAAAAGGCTGAATTATTTGATCCACTTCTATAAAAATATCGCGTGAAACTTATTTCGAAGTGGTAGGTTCAAGTAAAACTCCTTATTACTCTTTAATCCAGCCAAGCCATTTTACTAGGAGTATTTATTTCATATATTTTGCTCACTCTCGAAGAAATAAATTCACTTTGCTCACTTCTGATTCGCCAGACCACTTGTAATAAATTCTGATAGCGGTCGTGCAAAAAAATCATTTTAAGTTTTAGACAGGTCTCGGTGTCGTTCGCTATGACCGCAGATAGTTGCAGGATATCGAAGACCAAAATGACCGAACCCTAATGCTTCCGCCCACTTTTTATCCGCTAACCGTCGTATATCTCACGCTTATACATTTTACCGCGGCTGTGGTTTTACTCCCCGCATTTCGGCTGTGTGTATCTGGAGTTTCGGATTTGGCTGAGTCTTTAATCCAATTAACAAAATTCCCCACCATAAAATGATTATATTTGGAGAGACGAAAATCGCTTTACTGCTTACTATGGCGCGGTTAGAAGAGTTAGCGACGCGACTCACAAATTTCTGGTATTTTACGGATACTTTAATAAATACGTGTACCCAAAGTTTCGTAATTGTTTCACGTTGGTATATTTAACGCGCTTAATTTAATTGTATTCAGTAGGAGTTTCCGAGATTTAAATCTTCCTTTGTGCTATATTTTTGAAAAAATTAGTCCCCGTTCAACCCAGTTACTTTTTTTCCAACTTTCTCGATGTTTTTTATTCTCTTTATAATGTTTATTTGGCACACTGCTTATTGCATATTAACGTTATATCTAAACACCAGCGCTTTGGTCCAAGATGTTCCAAATGTTCAGCGTCGACTTGATCACAGTGAGAAATAAATACGACTCAACAAACAAGGCTTCACGTTTAGATAAAAAACTATTTAGCTTATAGGCTTTTGGTGGTAGGAGGAGATTTTCTTAATATAGCACCATATTTTGCATAGAGATTATCAGTGATACAGTGTAGAAATTGTTTTCATGTAAAGAGTACTAATCCCAAGACTGACTCAGAAAACACATCTTAGAAAAAAATGTTTTCTAACAAATTACAAATTACGGAATACTTATTTGGTATTTAAGTAAAAAACTGTGAAAACAGTTTTTTACTTAAATACCAAAGGCTTTTGATAAGTTACACTATCAGCTGTTCTGCCAAATAGCTATATAGCACAATGATTGATCTAAGTTGATTATTGTCCATCTTCTATTAATCATTTCTACTGCCGATTTGTTTGATACCGACATAAGTTATGTCGACAAGCCTATGTAAATCACATTTTCCTGGCATTTCACATAGAAACAAATGTCACAGAGGAAAATGTTAACCGAGACCGATAACTAATGCCACAAAAACTGTTGCAAGTCTAGTCTCAAATAATAATAAAAGAAGTTCTAATATGTATTATTTAAATTTAAAATTTTGCTTTTGGAAAATCCTTTAACTATACATCATGCAAATCTTCAAAATACCTTATTGAATGGATCCAATTTGTAAATAATGATTTTTCAATATAATTATGTGAATTCTTATTATTACTATTATTATAAATTCATCTTACTTATTTGGATTTTGACTACGAGTCTAAATTTCCTAAACTTTTCCACCTAATCAAGCAAGGTTTTGTACGCGAACTAAAGTAACCAAGTTGTGTCCTAAAATCTGAAAAAATCCTGAATTTGATAAAGAGGAGGAAGGTAAAATTATTGAGGCAAATAAAAATTTGCGTTTTAATTATTTAAACATTTAGTTTATTCTCTTAATTAGCAAAATCATGTAGATCTATAGTACTTCAGTTAAATTCGCCACTTAAATTGTGATGCGAGGTTCTCGTCCCTCATTATAACTTTTAATCATCCTAACCGAATTCGTGCAGGTAATGGCGTGCTGTAAATAACGATTTAAAATGAAGTTGAGAATTCAAGAAATTTTTAAAATTTAGATAATTTCTGAACATCACTGAATACTGAGAAAAATGTCGAAAACAATTACCGTATATGTGTAGGGGGGAAGACCTCATTCCAAAATTATTTATATGAATTGCCTCCGATACAAGCAAAAGCATGTACTTCAGTTATCAACAATCAAATTGTCTAAGCTGCTTTTCATTTTGCTATGATATCTAAAAATTTGCTAGCGTGATTTATTGTTCTGTGGCTTGAGGGTTGTAAAAACCCAGTAACTGTTTTAGACCCCTTAAGTTCATTTGCTGAAAACTGTAGATTTCGATCTACATTTCAGTCTCGTGGCATAATTTAACTGTAAAATTATATAGAGCTCAAAGCCAAACATTCAGTTTACAGCGATTTGGGCTGATATACGTTGAGTACTAAATAAATTTTGACAATTTTTAGTGGTAGGTCCAATAAATTATTAAAAAATGTTAAATAAAATCCAAAACGTGAGTCATTAAAGCTATTCTATGTTGTAATCAATTCCGTCACAAATTACGATTTAAAGGTTTGTTTTGTACAAATAACTACGAATTGTAATAGATGCTGCAAATTTGTTAGCACTGCAAAATATTCTTACTCACATATACTCCAACCAATCCAAAACTAAGAAAGCAGTAAATTGTGCTCGTTTGCACTACTCCAAAGTATGTGAATTTTTGGACAATGACCCGAGGGAGATATACAGCTATATACATTAATCTAGCGCTCCGATTGTACTGCCAACTATGGAATACATTGACTGAAGGAATAATCATTTCCAGGAACAGGAGTTTTTGCAACGTTCTTCTCTTCTCTTCTCTCTTCTACCAGCACAAATTAAAGATTTTTCTCTCAAACATTTTAAGGTGGGACATATATTCTGCTTTTTTATTTGTTGTTATTATTGTTCTGTTTTTCTCAATACTTCATTGTATTTAATTTATGTATTTGAATTTGAATTTATTAATAACAAATAATTCAAATGCCGAATGCGGATATTCAATAATAATTTTTGTTGTGGTGTAGTTCAGTCACACTATTGATGGATTAAATCATATCTATACAATGTCACTAACTTGACTAACAAAAACGGGATCCTGACTTCAATTTATGAGCACTACAAATGGTGCAGGTCATAAAGAATAACTCCGATATTTTTGCGAAAGGTACTGAACGAAAATAACGACAATTCGCCGGCCGAAGACTCTTAAATTTCATCGTTCTTATCGTTTTCTGTATCTTTCGCGTGAGAAAATGAAATGGCGCTCGAAGTGCAAATAAAACAAAGTAAAAGGTAAATCAATAGGGAGATTTAGAGTCGGCCTATAGCCATAAATAAACTACTAACAGCGGATAGTTGCCGGTTGGCCGCTACTGTATACCCTTTTTTGGGGTATAAAAATTCAGACGTCCTTTGGGCGATAAATTTTGCGACATGTTTTTTCTCCAAATGTCTTTTCCTCGCGACTTCCCGTTAAGAAATACAGGTCAGGCAACAGAAATTTATGATCTCGCTGCACTTACTTTCATTTTGTAAAGTAAAACTAGCTTAATACATCCGTTTTGAATTATAGATAGTAGTGTTTACATAAGATAGTATAAACTTCAAACCCATTGAACTCAAGCATTAAGTTGTAAGTACCGCGAACTAAGATTTTTTTAAAAATATTGTTATTTGCTTTGAAATTAATAAGTCCAGAACATTATTTTTAATTCAAAATTAACAAGAAATCGCACAAAAGATTTAAAGTTAGATAATTAAGACGTCCGCCAATATGTGTACCCCAGTTTTGTACATAAATTATATACGAATGAACATTGAATGAAACAAACACTTCATTTAGAAGCGGGGGTTATATCAATAGTTTTAAATATGTCAAGAAGTCCTATAATCTCGTCATTTTGCAATATTTCCTATACATTACGCCGACAGTGTTACTCTCACTTGTTGACCACCTGTTATTTCACAAAATGTTCAAGTTTATGATTTAGCCACTTACTGACTTAAAAAATAAACACAACCAAGATCAATCAAGTGCTTTAATTTTCGAGAAGTTGATGTGTTTTAGGAATTAGTTGCTTACCTTCGTCTTCAGAATATAAGCGATACTTATAATAAAATTTACTATCATTCCGTTTTGTGGCACCGCGGGTTCTGTGTTTTTTAATAGGAATGCGAATATTATGGTGAGTTTTATATTTACGGAAAATTCCATAATAATCTAAAAATGTTGCTAAAAATTGAACTGAACTGATGTCTTCAATGAAAATGGAAAAGGGATTTACATGGTTTAGTTTCCTTGTGTGAAATTCTTATCTGGTTTCACATACTATCTTCTATTATTGTGAACATTATATTCGCTATTAATAAAAAAATGTGCTTCTTGTATTATACAATTCTCTTAAGAGTTCCCACTTATTTTCCCTCCTCTTAGTATCAAATTCTTTAAAATATACAGTGTGTCCAAGATAAGGATGCACAGCATGGGGATCTCGGAAACTATAAGAGATACAGTGTCGGTTAAATTAGACAAAAGTTGCGCATTTTGATACCGAACAAGATCCCGTTTTACAAATTTGAAAATTCCAAGCCGTTCCGGAAATATCCAAGAAAAACCGAAATATTGCGATTTCGTTTTTATTATTTTTTAAAGCTATTTGAAAAGATATCAAAAAAACGGAAAACACTTTTCCATTGGCACTTTTTAATCTCTCCAAATTGACGTTAACAAATTTTCATTACAGCGTTTCGATTCCATGGAACCACCATCAACTTTGATTTTTCTTATGGGACGGAAAAAAAGTACACACAGTATTAGGTTGTGCTTTTCATTGCGAATTCAACGATGTACGATACAATACGGTTACTTATGTTTTTATCCAGAAAAATGGCTTTTTAATACATTTCCAGTATTTTATTGTAGTAGGCCATGAGATCCGAACGATGAAAGGCAAAAGAAAATGGTTGACAAGTGTTCGAGTTAATGTGTTTATTTATTTACTAACTCTAACTGTTCATTTAACATAACAACTAAATCCAACAAGTTAATGAAAAACAAATTCTATAACAAATGTTCGAATAAATGACCTCCATTTTCTAGGCATAAGTACGCCCGTCTCACGGTAGACTCCAAAACACGACTTAACATTTCAGGAGTAATTTTATTAAACGCTGCTCGTACTGATTGACGTAATTGTTCCTCGTTGTCAAAACATTCTTTGAATACCTCATTTTTTATGTAACCCCATAAGAAAAAGTCCAAGGGAGTTAAGTCCGGGGACCTTGGAGGCCAAGGTGTTTCACTGTAAGTCCCAATGTATTTTCCATCAAACCGTTCAGTTAAATATTGGCGAACTTCTCTGGAGTTATGGGCTGGGGCACCATCTTGTTGGAACCAGCAGCCTTGCACAGCGCCTAGCGGTAAATCATCTAAGGCATCTTCGAAATCGTGCCTCAAGATGTCAAGGTACCGCTCGGAAGTTAAGGAATTATTATAGAAAATAGGGCCTATAATCTTGCTACCAAAAATCCCACACCAAATATTAAACCCAAAGCGAACTTGATGTCTGGATAGTCTATTAACACGTGGATTTTGTTGCGACCAATAGTGTGTATTGCGCCTGTTATAAATACCGTTATTGGTCACCATACTTTCATCAGACCAAATCACTTTATATGGAAAATTAAAACTCTCATCACACATCCTGGTATACCACTCACAAAAATGTCTACGTCGTTCGTCGTCACCCGGTTTTAATCCTTGACATATTCTGAATTTGTAAGGCTTAAATTCATTTTTCCTTAAAATAAACTGAGCTGTAGATTTAGCTACCCCATTCTGGTCTTCAATTTCTCTGGTAGAAGTTTGTGGATTTTCCATAACAGATTGTAGAACAATGAATTGGTTTTCTTCATTGGAAGGTTTTTGTCGGGATAATGCAGGCTTCTTAAATGATCCATATTCTTTCAGATTAAATAACAAACGCCGAAAAATACTCTTGTCAGGTTGTCTCCGCTCTGGGTATTTGTTAGAATACATACGCTCGGCTTCCACACAATTTCTTTGGCATCAGATGTAGCAAGACAGCATATCACATTTTTCTTCGTTTGTAAAATTACCTCCCTCCATTGTAGAACAAAATAAATTAGAAAAAGACAACAACAATAAAAATACAAAAACAATAACTAAAGGAATAAACTTATGATCGACTGATAACAAAGACAAATAACATTAATATGTCATTGAAATTGACTGGATGTCATTTTGTCATGGCCTACTCCATTTAAATGCTGAAATGTATTAAAAATCCATTTTTCTGGATAAAAACATAAGTAACCATATTGTATCGTACATCATTGAATTCGCAATGAAAAGCACAACCTAATACTGTGTGTACTTTTTTTCCGTCCCATAAGAAAAATCAAAGTTGATGGTGGTTCCATGGAATCGAAACGCTGTAATGAAAATTTGTTAACGTCAATTTGGAGAGATTAAAAAGTGCCAATGGAAAAGTGTTTTCCGTTTTTTCATATCTTTTCAAATAGCTTTAAAAAATAATAAAAACGAAATCGCAATATTTCGGTTTTTCTCGGATATTTCCGGAACGGCTTGGAATTTTCAAATTTGTAAAACGGGATCTTGTTCGGTATCAAAATGCGCAACTTTTGTCTAATTTAACCGACACTGTATCTCTTATAGTTTCCGAGATCCCCATGCTGTGCATCCTTATCTTGGACACACTGTAGTGCTTCTAAATATTTCTTTTTGTTAGTTAATTCTATCACGAACAATTATTGTTCATACGTATTTTCATTTCCTGTGGTGCATTTTGAGTCTGTGATTTGAAATACAATTCTTAACATTCCATACGTAATTTTGATTATAATTTCCACACAAAGCACGCTTTAACATTTACTTATTTAGGGAAAATTCATTCTATGCACATATAATTGCTACAAGTAAAGTTTATTATCTTGAATATTGTTCAATATTATTAGGTCAACATTTCGTTAAAATATAAACAAATGTGTGGCAAGAAATAGATAACAACGACCTTAAATTTCAAATGGAAACATTTTATGCGTTAGACATCCTTTATTGCATGGTTATGCAAATCGTCCCAATAAAAATTTGATTTTAATATTTGGTCATTAAAACACAATCTTTCTGATTTGCATACAAATTTTTAATGGGCCATAGTAACCTCGACACGCAAAATATGTCACATTTCTTCTATTCAAATGAGTTGCATTATATACGCAGAAAAAAAATTGTTTTGCTTTTCAGAAATTGAACAATATCACCGTTGTCGTAGTACTTGTGATCGTCTGGCAATGCATCGCAGAGCACACAGAAAGTACCACCTATGGAGAGTTAATTAGAAAATCCTTATCAAAGAAAAAAGCAACATCCGCTGGGTATATCGTACCGTTTCATGACGAACAAATATTAGCCACAAGCAACCCTTCAGAATTATCGCAGCAATATGGTTACGAAGAAACAATATTACAAGATAGATTAACAAATACAACTATAAAATCGAAAGCTAACCCGGTTGATAAATCTCCGCTACCGTTGCAGCCGTTCCGTGAAGATTTTGATGGTGTTGATTCAAGTAAACCAAAGCAAATAAAACGAAATACACAAACATCAGAATTCAAGCTTTTAGTATTACAAGACAACTTAGACAAACCATTTGCACATTCAAAACAAACTACATCAGGAAAAATTTCGAGCAACTTCAGAATTGCTAGAGAATCATCTAGATTCAATACTCCATATTCTTTTATACCAAGTAAACAGCATTTGCCATTGAGCAAAATAAATTCTAAGTTACCGCTACCTGTTAAAACTAAGTCCACACAAGCAAAAAACGTTTCTCAAATACAGGGATTCAGCTCACCAATTATCGCCCCGCTAGGGTTGCTAACGCCAGCTAGAAGTTACTTAGCTCCTAATTTTACTACTAAGCTCCCAAATGTGTTATATACTTCTACACAAAGTCGAGCATATTTGCCACCAAGAATCCCTCAGAAACAAAAACACACTTCTAAACCTTCACTCCTATCTCCAACGCCATTTTATTCAGCTTCTAGTAAAGTGCACTCACCCCCACTAAATTTATCGACTTATAAATCGTCACCAGTACCGAGTAGAAGTGAATATACAAATACACTACCAAAATTTGTAACCAAGCCAACACCAATTTTATTGTCGAGAACATTAAATTTAAATATTAGTTCAGCATCAATTCCTAAACGCCCGACGATACCGCAACCTTTAGAGTCAAAATCAGCAAACCTAAACTCTATATCAACAACTGCCACAAATTTTACTTTGCCGTTATCTGTAATTTCTCGAATTTCTTCGACTCCTGGTAATTTGCATTTACCACCCCTAAATTTTTCAACCTCAAAGGTTCCCAAAAAACAGTCCACTTTCCCGCCGAAATTAACTACCTCAAGACCGATAACATCAACTCCTAAAACTAGTAATGCATTTTTACCACTACTTAAGTTGCCAACTCCTAAACCGCAAACAATATTTATTAGAAGCAAACAGACAACCTCACCAGCATCCTCTAAAAGTTCAACTTTATTGCCTGGCTTCTATTCTACTCCTAGTAATGCGTATTTACCCCCAGTGAAGTGGTTAGCTCCAAAATCGTTAACAATATTTACTACAAGCGAACACCCCACTACACCTTCACCTCTTATAAATCCCATAGTTTCAACCATACTGCCAAGTGCGTTATATTCTACTCCTGGTAATGAATATTTACCACCACTGAAGTTGTCAACTCATAAATCTGCAACGATATTTACCACAACCGAACGTACAACTACCGTCACACCTTCTACAACTTCCAAAGCTTCAACTCTACATCCCACTGCATTATACTCTATTCCTGGTAAGACATATATACCACCATTAAACTTGTCATTCGGTAAATCGTCATCCGGATTGGTAACTACAAGAAAACACACAGCTCATACAACCCCTACATTTACCACATCCAAAAGTTCACATTTATTGCCTGGCATCTATTCTACTCCTGGTAATACATATTTACCACCACTGAAGTTGTCAAATCGCAAATCGTCCACGATAGTTACTACAAACGAACACACAACTACACCCGCAACTTTTACAAATTCCAAAGCTTCAACCAAATTGTCAACTGCGTTATATTCTCCTTCTGGTAAGGTATATTTACCACCTTTAAATTTATCATCCCTTAAATCGTCGTTCATGTTGGCAACTACAAGAAAACACACAACTTCTACAACACCTACACCTACCACCTCAAAAAATTCAACTCTATTTCCTGGCTTCTATTCTACTCCCGGTAAAGCTTATTTACCACCACTGATGTGGTCAACTCCAAAATCGTCAACGATATTTACTACAAGCCAACACCCAACTACACCTGAACCTTTCACAAATTCCAAAGCTTCAACCATACTGCCAAATGTGTTATATTCTACTCCTGGCAGTGAATATTTACCACCACTGATGTTGTCCACTCCTAAATCCTCAACGATATTTACTTCAAGCGAACGCACAACTACCGCCGCACCTTCCGCAACTTCCAAAGCTTCAACTCTTCTGCCAACTACGTTATATTCTACTTCTGGTAAGGTATATTTACCACCATTAAACTTATCATTCCCTAAATCATCATCCGTATTGATACCTACAAGAAAATACACAGCTCATACAACACCTACATCTAACACCTCTAAAAGTTCTTTATTGCCTGGCTTCTATTCTACTTCTGGTAATGCATATTTACCACCAGTTAAGTGTTCAACTCCTAAATCGTCAACGATATTTACTACAAGCCAACACTCAACAACACCCGAACCTTTCACAAATTCCAGTAAGGTATCTTTACCACCATTAAATTCATCATCCCCTAAATCGTCGTCCTTGTTGGCAACTACAAGAAAACATACAACTCCTTCAAGACCTACACCTACCACGTCAAAAAGTTCAACCTTATTGCCTGCCTTCTATTCTACTCCTGGTAAAGCATATTTACCACCACTGAAGTTGTCGATTACTAAATCCTCAACGATATTTACTACAAGCGAACACACAACTACTCCCACAACTTTTACAAATTCCAAGACTTCAACCATACTGCCAACTGCTTTATATTCTACTTTTGGTAAGACACCTTTACCGCCATAAAACTTATCATTCCCTAAATCGCCATCCCTGTTGGTAACTGCAAGAAAATACACAACCCTTACAACACCTACATATATCGCATCTAAGAGTTCAACTTTATTGCCTGCTTTCTATTCCACTCCTGGGAAAGCGTATTTCCCATCATTAAAGTTGTCAACCCTCAAATCTCCAACAAGAAGCGAATACGCAACTACACTAGCACCTTTAACAACTTCTACTCTGACGTCAACAACCCTGCCACGGATGTCGACAATTCCTAGAGCTTCAATTTTAGTTTCTGTACCTTCTATAATTTCTTCTACTTCTGGTAATATGTATTTGCCACCACTTGAGTTGTCTACCCCCAAATCGCCTAAGATATTGAATAAAACCGAACACACAACTACACCGATACCTGAATTTACAATTTCCGAAAATACAACTTTATCGACATTTTATTCTACCCCTGGTACGGAGTATTTACCACCTCTAAACTTATCAATCCCCAAATTCTTAAACATACTGCCAACTTCCGAGACACACCCAACCTTAGGGTCAGAATATTCAACTTTGCCAACAGCAGAGATAACTAAAACTGTTCCGACTACACTACCAGATACCACTATAGCATCGGTAGAAACTGATTCAAATTTTTCAACCGTTGACATTGATAGTTCAAGTTCTAATTCCGATTCTACCTATCTATCACCGTTTAGGTCACCTTCTCTCAGGGCAGTGCAGGAACTTTCGCTTGGTTCATTGCACGAACCCATCGAAGCATCAAATTATTTTAATCTTTCGTCCACCGCATTAAATTTGACAAATGTTCTGCTTCCTCCTCGATAAATCCAATTGCTCTAGGGCATATGGATATGTTAACAATAATCTTTTTGAATGGTTGGTCAGATAATAATGTTGGTTACATGGGTGGGCATTTTTTTGCGATTATTTTTGTACAATTAAAATTAACGTAGTGTTGACCAACTTGAAAATGTGATTTTTTGTGATTAGAGTTAACTATTTTGGCGGTTGCCATAATAATAATATAAATTAGGTCTAATAATTCTTGATGATTGAGAAGGAGCTTTATATTTTAATTGGTTGCGCGCAAATATATTAAATTTTAGGTAATATCGTAATATAATAATATAATATAGTATCGTAATATCGAACGTAAGTAATTTTAGCTATATCGTTGATGTTTTATCAAATTTAATAAATGACAAAAAAATACAATGACAATAAAAAACTAGAAATATACATTTATATTTTATTTGTATCCGTATTTTATGCGTACCTTATTAAAAGTATAACTTATTACTTGTTATTCAAAAATGCTGTCGGCTGTTTAAAAATATATTGTTTTCTTTAACGTATCGGCAACATCATAAAGATGAGTAAGTTTTTCTAATATAACTAAACAGAAAAATGCTCCAAAGATTTCGGTTTAAATACTTGTGCGATTGAGCGTTCTTATTATTTTGTGTATTAACAATGTGATAGCCCCAATATCTTGTTCGAATTACTACTTGGTCTAAAGTGTCAGACGTTAAGTAGATGAATTTTGACTGTGGGAAAGCGATGAACTGTTGTAAAAAGATTAAAGTGGCCCCAATGTAAAAATGCAATTTTTGGATTGAAATAGATGGTTCGACAAATGAGGTTATTCATTATCAAATGACAGCCACGGCCTTACATTTAATTAAATTGTTCATTTCTAAACAATTCACGAGTCTCCCGACAGCTATATAATTAAGTCAAGCGTAGGTCGATATCCATAAAACTGCATACTACTTGTTTAATATTAATAATTCTTGTAACATAATGGTACCCCATACTTTTATTTGATGATTTTGTTGTTATTGAAAACCAATTGGTGCTCATTTATTAGATTGTTTATGGGGTAATGAGTGCGAAATTACCGATGCCTTTAAGTGATATTTGAAGGGATACATTATAAAATTACATGGGGTGGGTTGTAAATTAATTTGGAACCAGCGTATCTTGTTTAGCGTCCAATCTAATGAGCATCTAAAATTTGTTTTTCTTATTAACAATTAATTTAAATTAATGTACGACAATAATGTGTTATATACCAAATACATATAAGCTATAAGATAATATTGTGGCCCTACTACGGTAAATATGAATGCGCCGCAGGTGGCTATGACATTTTCGTACAGCTGAGAATGTCCTTTCGCGCACGCCACGCCCCCCCAACTGAGTTGCGATATGATATTATAAAAACGCGGTATTAATCTCTGAAATTCGGATATTATTGGCAACACCGAGTCAAGCTATGGCTGTCGTCATAGAATAATAACTTCCGAACCTTTTTTGAGTGTTGGCAACACAAATATTTTCCCATTGCAACAATTTCTGTGTTTGCGGTCAAAACTATAAGGAAAAGAATGTGCCTACATACGAGTAAGTGTTGTCTTTTGTACATAATTTATAGGATTAAATGGTGATATATAAACGGTCCACGACTCACAAACTACTTCTGCTTTTAAAAAAATGCAGTACTTTTATCAACAACACCTTAGCTCATTTTTGCCTAAAAATTAGATAGGATCAGGGTATATTTTGAGAAAATACTGGCACAAAATGCCATATTCAAAATTATTTACGTCAGCTGCCATGTTGATTGGTAAATCACGAAATGTTTTCAGTCATCGAAAGTCAGAATTTGCAATTACAGGTGTCATTAGTTAGTTTAGTTAGGTTAGTCACTTATTAGTTCTTAGGTAAAAACGCACGTGATGTGTAAAGTGTCATTTTATATTACCCAACCAATTACTTTATATACTTTGTATTACCCCGTAAATAGAAAAGCCATTAAAACCATCCTAACAAAAATGTAATTTTACTGCTCATGCCTGAAAGCGAGCTGTTCATGTTTGTGTCCTTCTTTGGTTGCGTCTATAGTCCTTTCTATTATAGCTTAATATTATTATTTGCATCCTAGGTTTGATAATGAAAATAAGTGGTAACCAATATTTCATTCATACTTGCATTGTACGAATATCTACTTATTTGGCAAAACTGTTTAAGTCAAGAGTTATACTGATGATTCTTGTAGAAAAGTTCTGTTTGTAAACGTAGATTTTGATCCTATCTCTCTCCCTTTCTTTTTGAGCCTTTGAATATTTGATGATCCCATGAGAGGTCAGACTTGTTTTAATGCAAATTAAATTCAGTGGCACTAAAAACTACCTAGTCCCGCCATTCCAATTTTATTAATCAAAAATCACGAACGTCTCGTTTGGATACGCATAAATCAATCTACAACGTCTTCAATATCCCATAAATCCCGAATATTAAAACCAAAACCCGATTCCGCTCAATTCGCTACAATTTGTAGTCGATCCATAAAATACACTTCCGGATTTATGCGAAGCATTACTGTCGCGGTGATTTAGTTCCAACGATCCACTCGGATAAAATTCTAATGAAAGCTTACACAATTTTTACTCAGCATTTTATTGGTATCTGCATATCCGTTCGATATGTGTTGCTCCCTGGCGCTATCTTGGTCGTGTGGTCCAAAATGCCAGAGATTTACTGCTTGCAACGTACACTATTATAAAGAATGATCCGACACATAAAGAGATAAGAAATAAATTACAAACAAGATAATCGACGGGCGTTGTTTTAGTACGTGTTTTTTTTTACCCTGGATTTTACAGTTTCTCATTAATTTGAAGCAATGTTTTAAAAAGTGTTGCATTAAATTAAATTGAATATTCTCAATTATACAGATACCAACAGATACAGGGCCTTCAATTTTAAACTTTATTTTGAAGTGGCAGTTTTTAGATCTTGTGAAATGGCAATTACGATTTTGTCGCTGTTATCTGAGTTAGGGTTGAAACATGGATGAAAATCTGAAAAAAAAATTCTTTTTTAGACCGTCTATCTGTAGATTTTTGACTTTTTCTATTAAAAAAGCTTAAGGTATATAACAATTTTGGTAATATTACTAATAAAAAAAACTATCTCCATACATTTTACAATATTTCAGCGTATACCAAATCAATGAAGTATGACCATATTGAAAAGTCAAGAGAGTTTAAGTCTCCACTGCTCTAGCCTCGCCGTTAAAAAGAGTGAGTGATAATCTTTTTTTTTAAATACGACACCTTATATAATTTTGCATGTTAAATTCAGCCAGAAATGTTTACACCACTGTCTCTTTTAAATTTTTTATTTCCAACTTATTCAGTAGGATTATTTCACAAATTTTAGTTAAAATGATTTTATTTCAATTTAACCAAGAAACACACAGAACAGCTTCACTGCAGCATTTGATATGGCTAACGGAATTTGAACAAAGAAACCTTTTGTACGGAATTGAAAATAAAGCACGAACGGAATGTGTTTGAGTTTTTATGCATTTGTGATGTGAGTTTTTGTTGTTGATTGATTGAAGCGTGAGTTTTCGCAATGATTGCAGATTTTATTCTTTGATATATTGTAAATATTTTATATTATGGAGGTGCCTTATCCCCCTATAAAAAGGGTTTCTTAAAGATGATTTTTTAAGACTTTCAACTTTTTTTTTTCAACACTAGTTTTAAAAATGACTTTCTTTGAACTTCATTAAAATGGTATAATATGCAGCAAGTTTGGCAAACGCCATTTTAACCTCGAGTGACTGAAGAAATGTATCAATATGCCAACACTACTAAACTTTTTCGACGACCGTTAGGTATTGGGTATATTTTTGCAAAAAAATATGTCTACATTAAGTGACTGGTTAAAATCTTCCAAAAACATCCGATGGAAATGAAAAAAATCTCTTATTTGTGCCTATACTTACTTATGTCTATAATCACCCGAGTTTCTAGTACTTCAGATTCAATTACTCTAATCAGAAAGAAAACCCATTTACCGGGCTCATTATTCTGCCCCAAAGCACGTAATTCATATAAACGTTGGTCTACTGTGAAATTCGAAATTCTTTTTGCTCGGTTAGCTACGTGTAGTAATCGTAATTAAATTATTTCGTTTATTTGAATCGGTATAGTTAAATTATTGTTTATATTTACCTCTAACGGCCATGTCTTTCGCAGCAGATATTTAATGAGATTTTATTATTTTCGCTATTGTTTACGTGCGCGTGAAATTTAAATTAAAATTCATTCGCTTGTCAATTAAAGGTTTGTTAAAGATTGAGTCTGAACGAAAATTGTATGAAAACATATATTTGCTGAAATTGAAATTCAAACGGTTTTGTGTGTAAGGCAGACCATATGTCATGTTAGGTAATATTAGAAAGTCAATCTGTCAATAATTAACAGTAAGCGAAACAACACAAAAATATTAATTTAATATTTTATGTTATCTTGAACGTACAGGAATACCCAAATGCTTGAACGAAATAAATCATTACAACGCAAAATATTTAACTGCCGAAAGGCAATTAAATTTGCGATTTCAACCGTGAAAATATACATTCATCTATAACATGTAAATTGTTCAAACACGTTCACTGAATTACCGACATATTTGAAGCAGAACCGACATCAGCAAAATTTTGTGTTTAAATAAAATACCGCCATTTATTAGCGTCGCCTTCTCCCTCGTTGATGACTTCGTATTTGTCATCAAAATATAATATATAGAAATTTTAAATATTTGATTTAATATGTACGAAAACCATTGAAACAAACAATGCCAAATTTTTCATTTATTCAATATATTTGATCCCTATTCTAAAAAAAGGGATAGCAACCACTTTATTTGCAGTTCCTTTTATATATATATATATATATATATATATATATATATATATATATATATATATATATATATATATATATATATATATATATATATATATATATATATATATATGATGACATATATATATATATATATATATATATATATATATATATATATATATATATATATATATATATATATATATATATATATATATATATATATATATATATATATATATATATATATATATATATATATATATATATATATATATATATATATATATATATATATATGATGACACTATACTCCGGGATATCATCCGTTCGCTCGTTGAACTCCGACTGGAATCCTGCATCCGACTGGAAT